TTGGATATGCTGCTGCTGCTGCTGCTGCTGGTGCTGGTGGTGGGGAGTGACGCCAGCAGCCGTGCAGCAGGGGAAGCGAGTGAGGTGACAGGTCATGAGGGTGTTGGTCTGGTGTTGAGGTGTGGTTTGAGATGACTCCTGAACATGCTGCTTGTGCTGCTGGTGGGTAGTGACGCCAGTAGCCCTGCTGCAGAGGAGGTGTGTGAGAGGGCATGGGGGTGTTGGTCTAGAGCTTGATTTGATGTGTGGTGTGATGATGGGGCAGGTTTCACACGACAGGTCGGCGCATGAGGCATGCCATGTCGGTGAGTGTTAGTAGGTCAGCAATGGGCCCTTGTTTTGACCTTGGAAAGCACGTCTCATCACTTCACCCCCCTGCCCTTGTCACTTCACCCCCCTGTGCTGGTCACTTATCCTGCCTACCTGTAGTGAACTTGTGCCACTTTTCTTCTTTCTCCCCCTCTTTGATTCAATTCTCACTCTCCCTTCAGTTTCTGTCACTCATTATCCCCTACGTTTGCACCTGCCCTGCCCACCCCTACATACACCACCCCTTACATACACTGCCCTGGCTCCCACTCTGGTCAACATCTTGACATACGTATTTCAGGAGGACGGCCCCGGACCACCTGGATCATCTGGATCACATTCCTTGCAACGCTTCTGCTTTGCAGTGCCCAAGATACCCGAGTACTTCACTGTATGGCACTCCTTCTCACACTCTCCTTCTCACACCCTCCTTCTCTCACTCTCCTTCTCACACTCTCCTTCAGTGTGCAAATCAAAACAAGCAGCGCATATCGTCTCTCTCATCCCCCCTTGCTCTCCCTTCTGCTCTCCTCTCCCTTCCCCCCTTACTCCCCTCCCCCTCCTCAGGCGGCAAGGCGACAACATGAGCGTAATCGGAAAGGTGATGGCAGAAAGCTTGCTTGTGATTGGTCAATAAGCAGAAATGGGGTACAAGAGAGGGGAAGAAAACCCCCCCTAAAATCCGGAAAAAACCCCCCCACAGCCCCCCCAAGGCCCCCCTAAGGCCCCCCTACCCCCCAATTCTCCTCACAGCCCCTCACAGCCCCCCTCGAACCGCCCTGGAAATCCCTGGGCATGGCCCATGATGCATATCTGCTCCCTGTCATATCACATTCCTGCTTCTGCTTCTACTTTGTGCTTCCTATCTATCATATCCCTCCCGGGCATGGCATGGCATGGCATGGCCAACCAGGGAGGGGCGCACAGCACAGAGAGCCAGGAGCTCATCCACCACTCCCTCTTCTGTTCTGCTTCTGCTCCCCACTCCCCTCCCTTTTCCCTCACCCCCCCCCCGTTCTCTGCCCGCCTGCATATATAATAACAAGCACATACATTCACATTCGCTAGGTCATCAAATCTATAAGTCATCTATCACTCTACGCGTCGTAGCAAATAGCCTCATGTTGTCGACAGGAGAAAATGGCACATGCGCTCCCTCCTTGTGCGTCTGTTTCTCTCTCTTCTTCTCCCTCATGTCATGCCCTGCGCATGGCTGAACACAAGCAGGTGGCAACGCATCTACTCCCTGTTTCCGTTTCTGCCACTCTTTCATATCCCAAACCTGGCCCAAACCAAACCTGCACTCCCCCCCTCCCCCTGCATATATACTAACAAGCACATACATTTATGTTCCTAACGTAATCAGATTCATCAATCCCTACCACTCTACACATTGCAAGCCAAGTGTCTTCGTCTTGGCGACAGGAGGGAAGCTGGCACCTGCGCAAGGGGAGGGGGGGAGTTGGGGTGGGGGAGAGGGGAAGCGGAGCAAGTGAGCGGGGGGAGCAGGGCAAGTGAGGGGATGGCAGGAGGTGTGAGGGCATGGTGGGATGGCAGGTGTGAGGGATATGGCAAGGTGTGCAGTGCATGCTCTGGGGCGACTCACAACGCACCTGATGCTGGTTTGGTGGGCCATGCGGCATGGCATGGCGCTGCGCTCCCTCCCCCTGCTTCTGTTTCTCTCCCTTGTTCTCTCTCATGTCCCGCGCATGGATGATGAGGGACGGCCACACAAGCAGCTGGCAACGCATCTGCTCCCTGTGCAAAGTATCTTCATCTTGGCGACAGGAGAAACTGGCACCTGCGCAAGGGGAGGGGAGGAGTTGGGGTGGGGGAGCAGAGCAAGTGAGCGGGGGGAGCAGGGCAAGTGAGCGGGGGGAGCACCCTAAACCCCCTTACCCCCTTACCTGGCAGGAAATGAAAGTCACCATGCAGGGAATGCAAATCCACCTGCCAGGGCATGAACAGGCACCATGCAGGGCATGAGAAGGCACCGTGCAACACGCGAAGGCACCTTGCAGGGCATGAGAAGGCACCTGGAAGAAGGGGGAAAGTGGGGAAAGAGGGGAGGGGGTGGGTGAGACAGGCTCAAATGGGCAGGCGCTGCACTGGCAGCTGGCAGAAAGGGGAGGGGAGAGGGTGGCTTGGACGTCTCACAGTTCCCCATGCCCCCTTACACCCCCCCCTTGAGCAAAGAATGCACACAGGAACAACAAACAAGCAAGCAAAACAAACTAAAACAAACAAACAAACAAACAAACAGGAAATATTGGGATGGAAAGAGGGGACGGGGTGAGTGAGACCTCTTCAATCAACATGCGCTGCACTGGCACCTGCTGGAAACGGGAGGACAGAGGGGAGGTGTTGAGTGTGACACCTCAAAACATTATGCCTTGCACTGGCACCTGCTGGAAAGGGGAGGAAAATGGCATCATGCAAGGAATGAGAAGGCATCATGCAGGGAACGGCAAGGCACCTTGAGGGAATGAGAAGGCACATGATTTTTATGTGCCCTAGTACATTGTTTTGCTTTTGTGTTCATACATTCATGCATCGTTCTGGTTCGCTCTTACCACGTGGGCGTGCGCGTCAGCCTGCCCCACCCCGTGCTCCACTGTCACGCCCCGCTGGCAACTGCTGAAACACGGGGAGGGAGGGAGGGAGGGAGGGAGGGAGGGAGGAGAGGGGAGGGGAGGGGAGATGAGGCATTGGTCAAATGACTCAAAACAGAGGGGAGAGAGGAGGGGATTGGTCAAATGACTCAAAACAAAGAGGAGAGAGGAGGGAATTGGTTAAATGACTCAAAACAAATAGGAGAGAGGAGGGGATTGGTCAAATGACTCAAAACAAAGAGGAGAGAGGAGGGGATTGGTCAAATGACTCAAAACAGAGGGGAGAGAGGAGGGGATTGGTCAAATGGCTCAAAACAAAGAGGAGAGAGGAGGGGATTGGTCAAATGACTCAAAACAAAGGGGAGAGAGGAGGGGATTGGTGAAATGACTCAAAACAAAGAGGAGAGAGAAGGATTGGTCAAATGGCTCAAAACAGAGGGGAGAGAAGAGGGGATTGGTCAAATGACTCAAAACAGAGGGGAGAGAGGAGGGGATTGGTCAAATGATTCAAAACAGAGGGGAGAGAGGAGGGGATTGGTCAAATGACTAAAAACAAAGAGAAGAGAGGAGGGGATTGGTCAAATTACTCAAAACTGAGGGGAGAGAGGAGGGGATTGGTCAAATGAGTCAAAAGAAAGAGGAGAGAGGAGGGGATAGGTAAAATGACTCAAAACAAAGAGAGAGGAGGGGATTGGTCAAACGACTCAAAACAAATAGGAGAGAGGAGGGGATTGGTCAAATGACTCAAAACAAAGAGGAGAGAGGAGGGGATTGGTCAAATGGCTCAAAACCGAGGGGAGAGAAGAGGGGATTGGTCAAATGACTCAAAACAGTGGGGAGAGAGGAGGGGATTAGTCAAATGATTCAAAACAGAGGGGAGAGAGGAGGGGATTGGTCAAATGACTCAAAACAAATATGAGAGAGGAGGGGATAGGTGAAATGACTCAAAACAAAGAGAGAGGAGGGGATTGGTCCAATGACTCAAAACAAATAAGAGAGAGAAGGGGATTGGTCAAATGACTCAAAACAAAGAGGAGAGAGGAGGGGATTGGTCAAATGGCTCAAAACCGAGGGGAGAGAAGAGGGGATTGGTGAAATGACTCAAAACAGAGGGGAGAGAGGAGGGGATTAGTCAAATGATTCAAAACAGAGGGGAGAGAGGAGGGGATTGGTCAAATGACTCAAAACAAAGAGGAGAGAGGAGGGGATTGGTCAAATGACTCAAAACAGAGAGGAGAGAGGAGGGGATTGGTCAAATGACTCAAAACAGGGGGAAGAGAGGAGGGGATTGGTCAAATGACTCAAAATAAAGAGGAGAGAAGAGGGGATTGGTCAAATTGCTCAAAACAGAGGGGAAGAGAGGAGGGGATTGGTCAAATGACTCAAAACAAAGAGGAGAGAGGAGGGCATTGGTCAAATGACTCAAAACAGAGGGGAGAGAGGAGGGGATTGGTGAAATGACTCAAAACAAAGAGGAGAGAGGAAGGTATTGGTCAAATTACTCAAAACAAAGGGGAGAGAGGAGGGGATTAGTCAAATGGCTCAAAACAGAGGGGAGAGAAGAGGGGATTGGTCAAATGACTCAGAACGGAGGGGAGATAGGAGGGGATTGGTCAAATGATTCAAAACAGAGGGGAGAGAGGAGGGGATTGGTCAAATGACTCAAAACAAAGAGGAGAGAGGAGGGGATTGGTGAAAAGACTCAAAACTGAGGGGAGGAAGGAGGGGATTGGTCAAATGAGTCAAAACAAAGAGGAGAGAGGAGGGGATAGGTGAAATGACTCAAAACAGAGAGAGAGGAGGGGATTGGTCAAATGACTCAAAACAGAGAAGAGAGAGGAGGGGATTGATCAAATGACTCAAAACAAAGAGGAGAGAGGAGGGGATTGGTCAAATGACTCAAAACAGAGAGGAGAGAGGAGGGGATTGGTGAAATGACTCAAAACTGAGGGGAGAGAGGAGGGGATTGGTCAAATGACTCAAAACAAAGAGGAGAGAGAGGAGGGGATTGGTGAAATGACTAGAAACAAAGAGGAGAGAGGAGGGAATTGGTTAAATGACTCAAAACGAATAGGAGAGATGAGGGGATTGGTCAAATGACTCAAAACAGAGGGGAGAGAGTAGGGGATTGGTCAAATGACTAAAAACAGGGGGAAGAGAGGAGGGGATTGGTCAAATGACTCAAAACAAAGAGGAGAGAGGAGGGGATTGGTCAAATGACTCAAAACAGAGGGGAGAGAGTAGGGGATTGGTCAAATGACTCAAAACAGGGGGAAGAGAGGAGGGGATTGGTCAAATGACTCAAAACCAAAAGGAGAGAGGAGGGGACTGGTCAATGACTCAAAACAGAGGGGAGAGAGGAGGGGATTGGTCAAATGGCTCAAAACAAAGAGGAGAGAGGAGGGGATTGGTCAAATGACTCAAAACAAAGGGGACAGAGGAGGGGATTGGTCAAATGACTCACAACGCACCCGGGGCTGGTTTGGTGGGCCATGCGGCATGGCATGGCGCTGCGCTCCCTCCTCCTGCTTCTGTTTCTCTCCCTTGTTCTCTCTCATGTCCCGCGCATGGATGAACAGGGACGGCCACACAAGCAGCTGGCAACGCAGCTGAGTTGTGCAGCAGAGCAGGTGAGTTGTGCAGCGGAGCAGGTGAGTGGTGCAGCAGAGCAGGTGAGCGGTGCGGCAGAGCAGGTGAGTGGTGCAGCAGAGCAGGTGAGTGGTGCGGCAGAGCAGGTGAGTGGTGCGGCAGAGCAGGTGAGTGGTGCAGCAGAGCAGGTGAGTGGTGCGGCAGAGCAGGTGAGTGGTGCAGCAGAGCAGGTGAGTGGTGCGGCAGAGCAGGTGAGTGGTGCAGCAGAACAGGTGAGTGGTGCGGCAGAGCAGGTGAGTGGTGCGGCAGAGCAGGTGAGTGGTGCAGCAGAGCAGGTGAGTGGTGCAGCAGAGCAGGTGCGTGGTGCAGCAGAGCAGGTGAGTGGTGCGGCAGAGCAGGTGAGTGGTGCAGCAGAGCAGGTGAGTGGTGCAGCAGAGCAGGTGAGTGGTGCGGCAGAGCAGGTGAGTGGTGCAGCAGAGCAGGTGAGTGGTGCAGCAGAGCAGGTGAGTGGTGCGGCAGAGCAGGTGAGTGGTGCAGCAGAGCAGGTGAGTGGTGCAGCAGAGCAGGTGAGTGGTGCAGCAGAGCAGGTGAGTGGTGCAGCAGAGCAGGTGAGTGGTGCAGCAGAGCAGGTGAGTGGTGTGGCAGAGCAGGTGAGTGGTGCGGCAGAGCAGGTGAGTGGTGCGGCAGAGCAGGTGAGTGGTGCAGCAGAGCAGGTGAGTGGTGCAGCAGAGCAGGTGAGTGGTGCAGCAGAGCAGGTGAGTGGTGCAGCAGAGCAGGTGAGTGGTGCGGCAGAGCAGGTGAGTGGTGCAGCAGAGCAGGTGAGTGGTGCGGCAGAGCAGGTGAGTGGTGCAGCAGAGCAGGTGAGTGGTGCGGCAGAGCAGGTGAGTGGTGCGGCAGAGCAGGTGAGTGGTGCAGCAGAGCAGGTGAGTGGTGCGGCAGAGCAGGTGAGTGGTGCAGCAGAGCAGGTGAGTGGTGCGGCAGAGCAGGTGAGTGGTGCGGCAGAGCAGGTGAGTGGTGCAGCAGAGCAGGTGAGTGGTGCGGGAGAGCAGGTGAGTGGTGCAGCAGAGCAGGTGAGTGGTGCGGCAGAGCAGGTGAGTGGTGCAGCAGAGCAGGTGAGTGGTGCGGCAGAGCAGGTGAGTGGTGCGGCAGAGCAGGTGAGTGGTGCGGCAGAGCAGGTGAGTGGTGCGGCAGAGCAGGTGAGTAGTGCAGCAGAGCAGGTGAGTGGTGCGGCAGAGCAGGTGAGTGGTGCAGCAGAGCAGGTGAGTGGTGCGGCAGAGCAGGTGAGTGGTGCAGCAGAGCAGGTGAGTGGTGCAGCAGAGCAGGTGAGTGGTGCGGCAGAGCAGGTGAGTGGTGCAGCAGAGCAGGTGAGTGGTGCGGCAGAGCAGGTGAGTGGTGCGGCAGAGCAGGTGAGTGGTGCAGCAGAGCAGGTGAGTGGTGCAGCAGAGCTGGTGAGTGGTGCAGCAGAGCAGGTGAGTGGTGCGGCAGAGCAGGTGAGTGGTGCAGCAGAGCAGGTGAGTGGTGCGGCAGAGCAGGTGAGTGGTGCGGCAGAGCAGGTGAGTGGTGCAGCAGAGCAGGTGAGTGGTGCGGCAGAGCAGGTGAGTGGTGCAGCAGAGCAGGTGAGTGGTGCAGCAGAGCAGGTGAGTGGTGCGGCAGAGCAGGTGAGTGGTGCAGCAGAGCAGGTGAGTGGTGCGGCAGAGCAGGTGAGTGGTGCAGCAGAGCAGGTGAGTGGTGCAGCAGAGCAGGTGAGTGGTGCAGCAGAGCAGGTGAGTGGTGCGGCAGAGCAGGTGAGTGGTGCGGCAGAGCAGGTGAGTGGTGCGGCAGAGCAGGTGAGTGGTGCGGCAGAGCAGGTGAGTGGTGCAGCAGAGCAGGTGAGTGGTGCGGCAGAGCAGGTGAGTGGTGCAGCAGACCAGGTGAGTGGTGCGGCAGAGCAGGTGAGTGGTGCAGCAGAGCAGGTGAGTGGTGCAGCAGAGCAGGTGAGTGGTGCGGCAGAGCAGGTGAGTGGTGCGGCAGAGCAGGTGAGTGGTGCGGCAGAGCAGGTGAGTGGTGCGGCAGAGCAGGTGAGTGGTGCAGCAGAGCAGGTGAGTGGTGCGGCAGAGCAGGTGAGTGGTGCGGCAGAGCAGGTGAGTGGTGCGGCAGAGCAGGTGAGTGGTGCAGCAGAGCAGGTGAGTGGTGCGGCAGAGCAGGTGAGTGGTGCAGCAGAGCAGGTGAGTGGTGCGGCAGAGCAGGTGAGTGGTGCGGCAGAGCAGGTGAGTGGTGCAGCAGAGCAGGTGAGTGGTGCAGCAGAGCAGGTGAGTGGTGCGGTAGAGCAGGTGAGTGGTGCAGCAGAGCAGGTGAGTGGTGCAGCAGAGCAGGTGAGTGGTGCAGCAGAGCAGGTGAGTGGTGCGGCAGAGCAGGTGAGTGGTGCGGCATAGCAGGTGAGTGGTGCGGCAGAGCAGGTGAGTGGTGCGGCAGAGCAGGTGAGTGGTGCAGCAGAGCAGGTGAGTGGTGCGGCAGAGCAGGTGAGTGGTGTGGCAGAGCAGGTGAGTGGTGCAGCAGAGCAGGTGAGTGGTGCAGCAGAGCAGGTGAGTGGTGCGGCAGAGCAGGTGAGTGGTGCAGCAGAGCAGGTGAGTGGTGCAGCAGAGCAGGTGAGTGGTGCGGCAGAGCAGGTGAGTGGTGCAGCAGAGCAGGTGAGTGGTGCGGCAGAGCAGGTGAGTGGTGCGGCAGAGCAGGTGAGTGGTGCAGCAGAGCAGGTGAGTGGTGCGGCAGAGCAGGTGAGTGGTGCAGCAGAGCAGGTGAGTGGTGCAGCAGAGCAGGTGAGTGGTGCGGCAGAGCAGGTGAGTGGTGCAGCAGAGCAGGTGAGTGGTGCGGCAGAGCAGGTGAGTGGTTCAGCAGAGCAGGTGAGTGGTGCGGCAGAGCAGGTGAGTGGTGCAGCAGAGCAGGTGAGTGGTGCAGCAGAGCAGGTGAGTGGTGCGGCAGAGCAGGTGAGTGGTGCACCAGAGCAGGTGAGTGGTGCGGCAGAGCAGGTGAGTGGTGCAGCAGAGCAGGTGAGTGGTGCGGCAGAGCTGGTGAGTGGTGCGGCAGAGCAGGTGAGTGGTGCAGCAGAGCAGGTGAGTGGTGCGGCAGAGCAGGTGAGTGGTGCGGCAGAGCAGGTGAGTGGTGCAGCAGAGCAGGTGAGTGGTGCGACAGAGCAGGTGAGTGGTGCAGCAGAGCAGGTGAGTGGTGCGGCAGAGCAGGTGAGTGGTGCAGCAGAGCAGGTGAGTGGTGCGGCAGAGCAGGTGAGTGGTGCAGCAGAGCAGGTGAGTGTTGCAGCAGAGCAGGTGAGTGGTGCGGCAGAGCAGGTGAGTGGTGCACCAGAGCAGGTGAGTGGTGCGGCAGAGCAGGTGAGTGGTGCAGCAGAGCACGTGAGTGGTGCGGCAGAGCTGGTGAGTGGTGCGGCAGAGCAGGTGAGTGGTGCAGCAGAGCAGGTGAGTGGTGCGGCAGAGCAGGTGAGTGGTGCGGCAGAGCAGGTGAGTGGTGCAGCAGAGCAGGTGAGTGGTGCGACAGAGCAGGTGAGTGGTGCAGCAGAGCAGGTGAGTGGTGCGGCAGAGCAGGTGAGTGGTGCAGCAGAGCAGGTGAGTGGTGCGGCAGAGCAGGTGAGTGGTGCAGCAGAGCAGGTGAGTGGTGCAGCAGAGCAGGTGAGTGGTGCGGCAGAGCAGGTGAGTGGTGCAGCAGAGCAGGTGAGTGGTGCGGCAGAGCAGGTGAGTGGTGCGGCAGAGCAGGTGAGTGGTGCAGCAGAGCAGGTGAGTGGTGCAGCAGAGCTGGTGAGTGGTGCAGCAGAGCAGGTGAGTGGTGCGGCAGAGCAGGTGAGTGGTGCAGCAGAGCAGGTGAGTGGTGCGGCAGAGCAGGTGAGTGGTGCGGCAGAGCAGGTGAGTGGTGCAGCAGAGCAGGTGAGTGGTGCGGCAGAGCAGGTGAGTGGTGCAGCAGAGCAGGTGAGTGGTGCAGCAGAGCAGGTGAGTGGTGCGGCAGAGCAGGTGAGTGGTGCAGCAGAGCAGGTGAGTGGTGCGGCAGAGCAGGTGAGTGGTGCAGCAGAGCAGGTGAGTGGTGCAGCAGAGCAGGTGAGTGGTGCAGCAGAGCAGGTGAGTGGTGCGGCAGAGCAGGTGAGTGGTGCGGCAGAGCAGGTGAGTGGTGCGGCAGAGCAGGTGAGTGGTGCGGCAGAGCAGGTGAGTGGTGCAGCAGAGCAGGTGAGTGGTGCGGCAGAGCAGGTGAGTGGTGCAGCAGACCAGGTGAGTGGTGCGGCAGAGCAGGTGAGTGGTGCAGCAGAGCAGGTGAGTGGTGCAGCAGAGCAGGTGAGTGGTGCGGCAGAGCAGGTGAGTGGTGCGGCAGAGCAGGTGAGTGGTGCGGCAGAGCAGGTGAGTGGTGCGGCAGAGCAGGTGAGTGGTGCAGCAGAGCAGGTGAGTGGTGCGGCAGAGCAGGTGAGTGGTGCGGCAGAGCAGGTGAGTGGTGCGGCAGAGCAGGTGAGTGGTGCAGCAGAGCAGGTGAGTGGTGCGGCAGAGCAGGTGAGTGGTGCAGCAGAGCAGGTGAGTGGTGCGGCAGAGCAGGTGAGTGGTGCGGCAGAGCAGGTGAGTGGTGCAGCAGAGCAGGTGAGTGGTGCAGCAGAGCAGGTGAGTGGTGCGGTAGAGCAGGTGAGTGGTGCAGCAGAGCAGGTGAGTGGTGCAGCAGAGCAGGTGAGTGGTGCAGCAGAGCAGGTGAGTGGTGCGGCAGAGCAGGTGAGTGGTGCGGCATAGCAGGTGAGTGGTGCGGCAGAGCAGGTGAGTGGTGCGGCAGAGCAGGTGAGTGGTGCAGCAGAGCAGGTGAGTGGTGCGGCAGAGCAGGTGAGTGGTGTGGCAGAGCAGGTGAGTGGTGCAGCAGAGCAGGTGAGTGGTGCAGCAGAGCAGGTGAGTGGTGCGGCAGAGCAGGTGAGTGGTGCAGCAGAGCAGGTGAGTGGTGCAGCAGAGCAGGTGAGTGGTGCGGCAGAGCAGGTGAGTGGTGCAGCAGAGCAGGTGAGTGGTGCGGCAGAGCAGGTGAGTGGTGCGGCAGAGCAGGTGAGTGGTGCAGCAGAGCAGGTGAGTGGTGCGGCAGAGCAGGTGAGTGGTGCAGCAGAGCAGGTGAGTGGTGCAGCAGAGCAGGTGAGTGGTGCGGCAGAGCAGGTGAGTGGTGCAGCAGAGCAGGTGAGTGGTGCGGCAGAGCAGGTGAGTGGTTCAGCAGAGCAGGTGAGTGGTGCGGCAGAGCAGGTGAGTGGTGCAGCAGAGCAGGTGAGTGGTGCAGCAGAGCAGGTGAGTGGTGCGGCAGAGCAGGTGAGTGGTGCACCAGAGCAGGTGAGTGGTGCGGCAGAGCAGGTGAGTGGTGCAGCAGAGCAGGTGAGTGGTGCGGCAGAGCTGGTGAGTGGTGCGGCAGAGCAGGTGAGTGGTGCAGCAGAGCAGGTGAGTGGTGCGGCAGAGCAGGTGAGTGGTGCGGCAGAGCAGGTGAGTGGTGCAGCAGAGCAGGTGAGTGGTGCGACAGAGCAGGTGAGTGGTGCAGCAGAGCAGGTGAGTGGTGCGGCAGAGCAGGTGAGTGGTGCAGCAGAGCAGGTGAGTGGTGCGGCAGAGCAGGTGAGTGGTGCAGCAGAGCAGGTGAGTGTTGCAGCAGAGCAGGTGAGTGGTGCGGCAGAGCAGGTGAGTGGTGCACCAGAGCAGGTGAGTGGTGCGGCAGAGCAGGTGAGTGGTGCAGCAGAGCACGTGAGTGGTGCGGCAGAGCTGGTGAGTGGTGCGGCAGAGCAGGTGAGTGGTGCAGCAGAGCAGGTGAGTGGTGCGGCAGAGCAGGTGAGTGGTGCGGCAGAGCAGGTGAGTGGTGCAGCAGAGCAGGTGAGTGGTGCGACAGAGCAGGTGAGTGGTGCAGCAGAGCAGGTGAGTGGTGCGGCAGAGCAGGTGAGTGGTGCGGCAGAGCTGGTGAGTGGTGCGGCAGAGCAGGTGAGTGGTGCAGCAGAGCAGGTGAGTGGTGCAGCAGAGCAGGTGAGTGGTGCGGCAGAGCAGGTGAGTGGTGCACCAGAGCAGGTGAGTGGTGCGGCAGAGCAGGTGAGTGGTGCTGCAGAGCAGGTGAGTGGTGCTGCAGAGCAGGTGAGTGGTGCGACAGAGCAGGTGAGTGGTGCGGCAGAGCAGGTGAGTGGTGCAGCAGAGCAGGTGAGTGGTGCGGCAGAGCAGGTGAGTGGTGCGGCAGAGCAGGTGAGTGGTGCGGCAGAGCAGGTGAGTGGTGCGGCAGAGCAGGTGAGTGGTGCGGCAGAGCAGGTGAGTGGTGCGGCAGAGCAGGTGAGTGGTGCGGCAGAGCAGGTGAGTGGTGCAGCAGAGCAGGTGAGTGGTGCGGCAGAGCAGGTGAGTGGTGCAGCAGAGCAGGTGAGTGGTGCGGCAGAGCAGGTGAGTGGTGCAGCAGAGCAGGTGAGTGGTGCAGCAGAGCAGGTGAGTGGTGCGGCAGATCAGGTGAGTGGTGCGGCAGAGCAGGTGAGTGGTGCAGCAGAGCAGGTGAGTGGTGCAGCAGAGCAGGTGAGTGGTGCGGCAGAGCAGGTGAGTGGTGCGGCAGAGCAGGTGAGTGGTGCGGCAGAGCATCACATGGCAGCATTGCTGCTTGGATGGTCTCATGTAATCCGTTGCCGCATGGCAAGCATCTCATTGCGTCTCAGTCCTACATTCGAACCCACATGCCATCCCACATGGAGGGAACAGGAGATTTGATGACAGCATTGCTGCTTGGATGGTCACATGTGAGTGGGGCAGTTGCAGCACGGTGCTGCATCTCACAGTGCTGGTTACATTTCACAGTGCTGGTTACATCTCACAGTGCTGGTTACATCTCACAGTGCTAGTTACATTTCACAGTGCTGGTTACATCTCACAGTGCTGATTACATCTCACAGTGCTGGTTACATCTCACAGTGCTGGTTACATCTCACAGTGCTGGTTACATCTCACAGTGCTGGTTACATCTGACAGTGCTGGTTACATCTCACAGTGCAGTGCTGGTTACATCTGATAGTGCTGGTTACATCTCACAGTGCTGGTTACATCTCACAGTGTTACATCTCACAGTGCTGGTTACATCTCACTCTTCTGGTTACATTGAGTCATTGACTCAATCTGCTCCTCATTCTCTCAGCTCCTCTTCTTCCATTCTCTCCCTCACACACTTTCCTTTCCCCCCTCTCTCCCTGTTTCCCTCCCTCCTTCCCTCCCTCTCTCCCTCTTTCCCTCCCTCCTTCCCTACATTGACTCAATCTGCTCCTCATTCTCTCAGCTCCTCTCCTTCCATTCTCTCCCTCACACACTTTCCATCCCCCCTCTCTCCCTCTTTCCCTCCCTCCTTCCCTCCCTCTCTCCCTCTTTCCCTCCCTCCTTCCCTCCCTCTCTCCCTCCTTTCATCAGAAGTATCCTCACGACTTGGCTAGAGCAGCGGAGCTAGCAGTGGCATCCCTACAGGTGAGCAGCTGCTGTTGCGCCTCGTGCTTGTGTTTGTTGATGCTCTGCTGTGTTTTCAATGTTTGTCTAGCTTTTCTGTTTCAACAGCAGAGCTGGCAGTGGCACTGGGCTGTCCATGGCTTTGAGGCAAGCTATATCAGCAGAGTTGGCATTGGCAACCCGTGGCATTGCAACCTTTCTGACCTGATTGCTCCTCTCCTCCCATTCTTTCTCCCTACAGGCTGTGCTCGCACGAACCTTGCAGCACCGCTCTCCACCTCTGGACGGCACCGAGTCCTCTCCCACTCCCCCCACTCCCAATCGCCTGGAGCTCTGCCTCGTTCAGAGCCGTGATGACATTATAAGCCCGCCTGTTGTGTTACGTGCACAAGCGGTTGAAAGCGGTGTAGATGGTTTAGATGGATTGCAAGATGGTGAAAGTGCCTTGGTGAGCGGTGACAGTGTAGGGGTGCTGCAGGATAAGGGAGTTGATGCTCAGCTGACAACTGAGAGCTGAGTTGAATGTACTGTAAAAAGAGAACGCTCAACTGTTTTTGGCCGGGTGAGGCACTTTCCTGAGCACAATTAACACCATGAAAAGGACCAGGCGGGAATCGAACCCACGAGGTGTTGCACTTTGTGTTTGAAAGAAGTTATGCTACTGGTCCTGTGATATAAGCAATTTGTTGTGTACTATAGTATTTGACAACGACGTGATTTATGCTATTTGTTGTGTACTGAGCTCTCTTGTCAAGCATCATGGAGGACGCAGAGCCGCTGCGCGCGCTCTCCGCCCACATCGCGTAAAAACGGACCAGGCGGGTATCGCGATAGTTTCCCTCAGCTTTCCGCTCTATCGCCGCGTTCCTTCCGTCCCTAGTCCCTCCCCGCGCTGCGCGCGCTCTCCGTCCACAGCGCGTGACGCGGACCCTACTTGTCTCCCGGGTCTCTCGGGTGAGAGCCGAGTATCCTAACCGACTAGACTACAACGGATGTCACCAACCTTTGACACAAAAATAATGACCTATGTGTTTTTCTGCAATTCTGCCGCTCACGATGACGTTTTCCCATGCGGTTGTCATGACGTCGTCTCTCTCCGTCGCCCTGCACGGGGGCGGTCGCGTGCTCAGCATTCAGTCACATACCGTCCAGGTATCCGTTGCATGCAGTCGTACACTGCCCAGGTATCCTTCGCATTCTGTCGCAGACCGTGTTGGTCACCGTCGCATTCACCTGCCCTCACGGTCCAGATAGCAAACGATACCGACATCGTTACTCTACCCCGGCGTAGGCAATGCAAAGCAGCGTTTTTTCCGTTACGTAGGGTAACCCTACGGTAGCCAAAGCAACCGCCGGTGGCCGAGAGTCCCTCTCAGGTGTCTCTCAGACGCCCCTCTCAAGTGACTCTCAGGTTACCCTCTCAGGTGTCTCTCAGGTGCCCATCTCAGGTGTCCATCTCGGGTGCCCCTTTCAGGTGCCCCACTCAGGTGTTTCTCAGGCGCCCATCTCAGGTGTCTCTCAGGCGCCCCTCTCAGGTATTTTCTCAGGGGGTCCCTCTCAGGCTTCTCTCAGCTGTCCCTTTCAGCTGCCCCTCTCAGGTGTCTCTCAGGTTCCCCTCTCAGGTGCCCATCCCAGGTGTCTCTCCAATGTCTCTCAGGTGCTTGCTTAGTACGACCATGCGAAGTCTGGTATGAAGCTCTGAGTGTCTCGGTCATGCATCAAGTGTATGAAGCATGGGCTCATGCGAACGCGTGTGTGATGGCGTGTGTCTGCATTGAGTGTATGAGTGTATGTATATACATGCATACATATATCTATCTAAATACATATTTATGTTTATACATCTATGTGTTTACACCCTGACACTTCGGTCACATATCTATATTGCTTCGTACACGGTCCATGCGTCAGAACTATGTGGGTGGGCAGCAAGGTGGCCAGGTTCCCCCGGCAGCTGGTGAGTGGTGCGGCAGAGCAGGTGAGTGGTGCGGCAGAGCAGGTGAGTGGTGCGGCAGAGCAGGTGAGTGGTGCGGCAGAGCAGGTGAGTGGTGCGGCAGAGCAGATGAGTGGTGCGGCAGAGCAGGTGAGTGGTGCAGCAGAGCAGGTGAGTGGTGCGGCAGAGCAGGTGAGTGGTGCGGCAGAGCAGGTGAGTGGTGCGGCAGAGCAGGTGAGTGGTGCGGCAGAGCAGGTGAGTGGTGCGGCAGAGCAGGTGAGTGGTGCAGCAGAGCAGGTGAGTGGTGCGGCAGAGCAGGTGAGTGGTGCAGCAGAGCAGGTGAGTGGTGCAGCACAGCAGGTGAGTGGTGCGGCAGAGCAGGTGAGTGGTGCAGCAGAGCAGGTGAGTGGTGCGGCAGAGCAGGTGAGTGGTGCAGCAGAGCAGGTGAGTGGTGCGGCAGACCAGGTGAGTGGTGCGGCAGAGCAGGTGAGTGGTGCAGCAGAGCAGGTGAGTGGTGCAGCAGAGCAGGTGAGTGGTGCGGCAGAGCAGGTGAGTGGTGCAGCAGAGCAGGTGAGTGGTGCGGCAGAGCAGGTGAGTGGTGCGGCAGAGCAGGTGAGTGGTGCGGCAGAGCAGGTGAGTGGTGCAGCAGAGCAGGTGAGTGGTGCGGCAGAGCAGGTGAGTGGTGCGGCAGAGCAGGTGAGTGGTGCGGCAGAGCAGGTGAGTGGTGCAGCAGAGCAGGTGAGTGGTGCGGCAGAGCAGGTGAGTGGTGCAGCAGAGCAGGTGAGTGGTGCAGCAGAGCAGGTGAGTGGTGCAGCAGAGCAGGTGAGTGGTGCAGCAGAGCAGGTGAGTGGTGCGGCAGAGCAGGTGAGTGGTGCGGCAGAGCAGGTGAGTGGTGCGGCAGAGCAGGTGAGTGGTGCGGCAGAGCAGGTGAGTGGTGCGGCAGAGCAGGTGAGTGGTGCGGCAGAGCAGGTGAGTGGTGCGGCAGAACAGGTGAGTTGTGCGGCACAGCAGGTGAGTGGTGCGGCAGAGCAGGTGAGTGGTGTGGCAGAGCAGGTGAGTGGTGCGGCAGAGCAGGTGAGTGGTGCGGCAGAGCAGGTGAGTGGTGCGGCAGAGCAGGTGAGTGGTGCGGCAGAGCAGGTGAGTGGTGCGGCAGAGCAGATGAGTGGTGCGGCAGAGCAGGTGAGTGGTGCGGCAGAGCAGGTGAGTGGTGCAGCAGAGCAGGTGAGTGGTGCGGCAGAGCAGGTGAGTGGTGCGGCAGAGCAGGTGAGTGGTGCGGCAGAGCAGGTGAGTGGTGCGGCAGAGCAGGTGAGTGGTGCGGCAGAGCAGATGAGTGGTGCGGCAGAGCAGGTGAGTGGTGCGGCAGAGCAGGTGAGTGGTGCGGCAGAGCAGGTGAGTGGTGCGGCAGAGCAGGTGAGTGGTGCGGCAGAGCAGGTGAGTGGTGCAGCAGAGCAGGTGAGTGGTGCAGCAGAGCAGGTGAGTGGTGCAGCAGAGCAGGTGAGTGGTGCGGCAGAGCAGGTGAGTGGTGCAGCAGAGCAGGTGAGTGGTGCGGCAGAGCAGGTGAGTGGTGCGGCAGAGCAGGTGAGTGGTGCAGCAGAGCAGGTGAGTGGTGCGGCAGAGCAGGTGAGTGGTGCAGCAGAGCAGGTGAGTGGTGCGGCAGAGCAGGTGAGTGGTGCGGCAGAGCAGGTGAGTGGTGCAGCAGAGCAGGTGAGTGGTGCGGCAGAGCAGGTGAGTGGTGCAGCAGAGCAGGTGAGTGGTGCAGCAGAGCAGGTGAGTGGTGCAGCAGAGCAGGTGAGTGGTGCAGCAGAGCAGGTGAGTGGTGCGGCAGAGCAGGTGAGTGGTGCAGCAGAGCAGGTGAGTGGTGCGGCAGAGCAGGTGAGTGGTGCGGCAGAGCAGGTGAGTGGTGCGGTAGAGCAGGTGAGTGGTGCAGCAGAGCAGGTGAGTGGTGCGGCAGAGCAGGAGAGTGGTGCAGCAGAGCAGGTGAGTGGTGCAGCAGAGCAGGTGAGTGGTGCGGCAGAGCGGGTGAGTGGTGCAGCAGAGCAGGTGAGTGGTGCAGCAGAGCAGGTGAGTGGTGCGGCAGAGCAGGAGAGTGGTGCGGCAGAGCAGGTGAGTGGTGCAGCAGAGCAGATGAGTGGTGCAGCAGAGCAGGAGAGTGGTGCAGCAGAGCAGGTGAGTGGTGCAGCAGAGCAGGTGAGTGGTGCGGCAGAGCAGGAGAGTGGCGCGGCAGAGCAGGTGAGTGGTGCGGCAGAGCAGGTGAGTGGTGCGGCAGAGCAGGTGAGTGGTGCGGCAGAGCAGGTGAGTGGTGCAGCAGAGCAGGTGAGTGGTGCGGCAGAGCAGGTGAGTGGTGCAGCAGAGCAGGTGAGTGGTGCAGCAGAGCAGGTGAGTGGTGCAGCAGAGCAGGTGAGTGGTGCGGCAGAGCAGGTGAGTGGTGCGGCAGAGCAGGTGAGTGGTGCAGCAGAGCAGGTGAGTGGTGCAGCAGAGCAGGTGAGTGGTGCAGCAGAGCGATGAGTGGTGCGGCAGAGCAGGTGAGTGGTGCAGCTCTGCCACTCTTTCATATCCCAAACCTGGCCCAAACCAAACCTGCACTCCCCCCATCCCCCTGCACATATAATAACAGGCTCATACATTTATGTTCCTAACGTAATCAGATTCATCAATCCCTACCACTCTACACATTGCAAGCCAAGTGTCTTCGTCTTGGCGACAGGAGGGAAGCTGGCACCTGCGCAAGGGGAGGGGGGGAGTTGGGGTGGGGGAGAGGGGAAGCGGAGCAAGTGAGCGGGGGGAGCAGGGCAAGTGAGGGGATGGCAGGAGGTGTGAGGGCATGGTGGGATGGCAGGTGTGAGGGATATGGCAAGGTGTGCAGTGCATGCTCTGGGGCGACTCACAACGCACCTGGGGCCGGTTTGGTGGGCCATGCAGCATGGCATGGCGCTGCGCTCCCTCCTCCTGCTTCTGTTTCTCTCCCTTGTTCTCTCTCATGTTCCGCGCATGGATGATGAGGGACGGCCACACAAGCAGCTGGCAACGCATCTGCTCCCTGTGCAAAGTATCTTCATCTTGGCGACAGGAGAAACTGGCACCTGCGCAAGGGCAGGGGAGGAGTTGGGGTGGGGGAGCAGAGCAAGTGAGCGGGGGGAGCAGGGCAAGTGAGCGGGGGGAGCACCCGAAACCCCCTTACCCCCTTACCTGGCAGGAAATGAAAGTCACCATGCAGGGAATGCAATCCACCAGCCAGGGCATGAACAGGCACCATGCAGGGCATGTGAAGGCACCGTGCAACATGCGAAGGCACCTTGCAGGGCATGAGAAGGCACCTGGCAGAAGGGGTAAAGTGGGAAAAGAGGGGAGGGGGTGGGTGAGACAAGCTCAAATGGGCAGGCGCTGCACTGGCAGCTGGCAGAAAGGGGAGGGGAGAGGGTGGCTTGGACGTCTCACAGTTCCCCATGCCCCCTTACACCCCCCCCTTGAGCAAAGAATGCACACAGGAACAACAAACAAGCAAGCAAAACAAACTGAAACAGACAAACAAACAAACAAACAAACAAACAAACAAACAGGAAATATTGGGATGGAAAGAGGGGACGGGGTGAGTGAGACCTCTTCAATCAACATGCGCTACACTGGCACCTGCTGGAAACGGGAGGACAGAGGGGAGGTGTTGAGTGTGACACCTCAAAACATTATGCCTTGCACTGGCACCTGCTGGAAAGGGGAGGAAAATGGCATCATGCAAGGAATGAGAAGGCATCATGCAGGGAACGGCAAGGCACCTTGAGGGAATGAGAAGGCACGTGATTTTTATGTGCCCTAGTACATTGTTTTGCTTTTGTGTTCATACATTCATGCATCGTTCTGGTTCGCTCTTACCACGTGGGCGTGCGCGTCAGCTTGCCCCACCCCGTGCTGCACTGTCACGCCCCGCTGGCAGCTGCTGAAACACGGGGAGGGAGGGAGGGAGGGAGGGAGGGAGGGAGGGAGGGAGGAGAGGGGAGGGGAGGGGAGATGAGGCATTGGTCAAATGACTCGAAACAGAGGGGAGAGAGGAGGGGATTGGTCAAATGACTCAAAACAAAGAGGAGAGAGGAGGGAATTGGTTAAATGACTCAAAACAAATAGGAGAGAGGAGGGGATTGGTCAAATGTCTCAAAACAGAGGAGAGAGGAGAGGATTGGTCAAAGGACTCAAAACAGAGGGGAGAGAGTAGGGGATTGGTCAAATGACTCAAAACAGGGGGAATAGAGGAGGGGATTGGTCAAATGACTCAAAACAAAGAGGAGAGAGGAGGGGATTGGTCAAATGGCTCAAAACCGAGGGGAGAGAAGAGGGGATTGGTCAAATGACTCAAAACAGAGGGGAGAGAGGAGGGGATTAGTTAAATGATTCAAAACAGAGGGGAGAGAGGAGGGGATTGGTCAAATGACTCAAAACAAATATGAGAGAGGAGGGGATTGGTCAAATGACTCAAAACAAAGAGGAGAGAGGAGGGGATTGGTCAAATGACCTCAAACAGAGAGGAGAGAGGAGGGGATTGGTCAAATGACTCAAAACAGGGGGAAGAGAGGAGGGGATTGGTCAAATGACTCAAAACAAAGAGGAGAGAGGAGGGGATTGGTCAAATGACTCAAAACAGAGGGGAGAGAGGAGGGGATTGGTCAAATGACTCAAAACAAAGAGGAGAGAAGAGGGGATTGGTCAAATTACTCAAAACAGAGGGGAAGAGAGGAGGGGATTGGTCAAATGACTCAAAACAAAGAGGAGAGAAGAGGGGATTGTTCAAATTACTCAAAACAGAGGGGAGAGAGTAGGGGATTGGTCAAATGACTCAAAACAGGGGGAAGAGAGGAGGGGATTGGTCAAATGTCTCAAAACAAAGAGGAGAGAGGAGGGGATTGGTCAAATGACTCAAAACAGAGGGGAGAGAGGAGGGGATTGGTCAAATGACACAAAACAAAGAGGAGAGAGGAAGGTATTGGTCAAATTACTCAAAACAAAGGGGAGAGAGGAGGGGATTGGTCAAATGGCTCAAAACAGAGGGGAGAGAAGAGGGGATTGGTCAAATGACTCAGAACAGAGGGGAGATAGGAGGGGATTGGTCAAATGATTCAAAACAGAGGGGAGAGAGGAGGGGATTGGTCAAATGACTCAAAACAAAGAGGAGAGAGGAGGGGATTGGTGAAAAGACTCAAAACTGAGGGGAGAGAGGAGGGGATTGGTCAAATGAGTCAAAACAAAGAGGAGAGAGGAGGGGATAGGTGAAATGACTCAAAACAGAGAGAGAGGAGGGGATTGGTCAAATGACTCAAAACAAATAGGAGAGAGGAGGGGATTGGTCAAATGACTCAAAACAAAGAGGAGAGAGGAGGGGATTGGTCAAATGACTCAAAACAGAGAGGAGAGAGGAGGGGATTGGTGAAATGACTCAAAACTGAGGGGAGAGAGGAGGGGATTGGTCAAATGACTCAAAACAAAGAGGAGAGAGAGGAGGGGATTGGTGAAATGACTCGAAACAAAGAGGAGAGAGGAGGGAATTGGTTAAATGACTCAAAACGAATAGGAGAGATGAGGGGATTGCTCAAATGACTCAAAACAGAGGGGAGAGAGTAGGGGATTGGTCAAATGACTCAAAACAGGGGGAAGAGAGGAGGGGATTGGTCAAGTGACTCAAAACAAAGAGGAGAGAGGAGGGGATTGGTCAAATGACTCAAAACAGAGGGGAGAGAGTAGGGGATTGGTCAAATGACTCAAAACAGGGGAAAGAGAGGAGGGGATTGGTCAAATGACTCAAAACAAAGAGGAGAGAGGAGGGGATTGGTCAAATGACTCAAAACAGAGGGGAGAGAGGAGGGGATTGGTCAAATGACTCAAAACAAAGAGGAGAGAGGAGGGGATTGGTCAAATGACTCAAAACAAAGGGGACAGAGGAGGGGATTGGTCAAATGACTCACAACGCACCTGGGGCTGGTTTGGTGGGCCATGCGGCATGGCATGGCGCTGCGCTCCCTCCTCCTATCACTCTGACCTTCCCTACACACTCACATCCGAGCTCACCTATCACTCTGACCTTCCCTACACACTCACATCCGAGCTCACCTATCACTCTTACCCTCCCTACACACTCACATCCGAGCTCACCTATCACTCTGACCCTCCCTACACACTCACATCCGAGCTCACCTATCACTCTGACCCTCCCTACACAGTCACATCCGAGCTCTCCTATCACTCTGATCCTCCCTACACACTCACATCCGAGCTCACCTATCACTCTGACCTTCCCTACACAGTCACATCCGAGCTCACCTATCACTCTGACCCTCCCTACACACTCACATCCGAGCTCACCTATCACTCTGACCCTCCCTACACAGTCACATCCGAGCTCTCCTATCACCCCGACCCTCCCTACACACTCACATCGGAGCTCTCCTATCACTCTGATCCTCCCTACACACTCACATCCGAGCTCACCTATCACTCTGACCTTCCCTACACACTCACATCCGAGCTCACCTATCACTCTGACCTTCCCTACACACTCACATCCGAGCTCACCTATCACTCTGACCCTCCCTACACAGTCACATCCGAGCTCACCTATCACTCTGACCCTCCCTACACACTCACATCCGAGCTCACCTATCACTCTGACCCTCCCTACACACCCACATCCGAGCTCTCCTATCACCCTGACCCTCCCTACACACTCACATCCGAGCTCTCCTATCACTCTGATCCTCCCTACACACTCACATCCGAGCTCACCTATCACTCTGACCTTCCCTACACACTCACATCCGAGCTCACCTATCACTCTGACCTTCCCTACACACTCACATCCGAGCTCACCTATCACTCTGACCCTCCCTACACACTCACATCCGAGCTCACCTAACCCTGTTACAGCCCTTGCCATCGCCGACCACTCACCTGGGCTTCGAGCCACCAGTTGCAATGTTGGGGGCGTGTATAAATCCTCTTGTTGTTGCGTTTCTTTATGCTCGGGTACAGTGCGAATCCTTTTTGGTTGCACCGGTCTTCAAAAATCGCCTGCACCACCTGGAAAACACGTAAAACGAAAAACGATCGTTAAATCACCACCAAATAGATTCTCTGTAGTGAAAGAGCATCACTCCCCGTGACTTACCTTGAGAGTGTCCGTGTATTTCAAGGGCACATAGACGGGTCGGCCATTCTCCAACACCCCTGGGACCTCGACCATTGTCGTCTTCCACTCGGGCGCTTTCGAGCCCCACTTGTCCGCAGCCCACTTTTGCGCATCTTTTATGCTCCGCCAGCCTTGGAGATCCTCGGAGTTGAAGCCCGGGTGGCATACGACCCGCAAAAACCGCTTGCTCTCTTCAACGGTCATGCCCTGCCCTTCACGGAAGCTTTGCATCAGTAACAGCAGCTCTTTTCGTGTGTCAAAGATTCCAGGCCCCCAATCGAAGTCAATCGGCTCTTGAGAGGCGTCGGGCTGAAAGGCGATTTGCTCGTGCTCATTCGTTGGCGCATCAAAGTGTGGCGCGGTAGTGTGAGCTTCTTGTGCGGGGCTTGTAGGAACTGCCGGATCGTCAATCCGCCTACGCTTGTGATGATGGCATGCGGGTGGCGGATCCTTGTGAATCTGTCCATCTTCGGTAGCCTTCAACGGGCCGTTCTCGTAGCCCTCGTCACGAAGGCGAGCTTGATGCAGCCTACACTCTACGTTGTTGGTCTGATGAGACTTCAGAGCACGGTGCGTCTGGAAGAGTGCTGCGCACCACGCACACAGAATAAGTGATAACATCACTAAATAACGTGCTCTCGGAGTTGCTGCCATAACAAAGGCAAATCTGAAGCCGTCGACGGCTTCCTATCCCGCAAAATCTGAGAAAGGGACTGCGGAAATGAAGGCGTTGTAAGCCTACGCGGCTTTTATGAGGATCGATCGGCATGTTGTGCAGTAGAAGCGAATAGAGACTACAGAGCGTCAAATCACTAGCGATCGTTCTTCCAAGTGCACGACCCTTGGCGTCTTGGCGGTCGAAATCCTGCTAGTGCGCTTCGCGGCAAATCGTAGCAGATCGTGCCTCATCGGTCGAAACTTGTACCTGTTGTGTGAGGCACGAACTTCGTGTGTTCAAACCTTTGATCTCGCTCCGTTATAAGTTTTACACTGGTTGTTTCAAAAACTCACTAAATAAAAGAGCCAGGAAATCGATAACTCACATCTTTACATTCCATTCCACAACTATTTGCACGAAACAATTCAACTTATCAGAGGTGTTTCCATGTAGTGTCGCAAACCCAATACCCTCGAAAAAAAATCACAGGTGTGCTCGCAATACCCAATACCTTGTCGTCGTCGTCGTTGTCGTCGTCGTCGTCGTTGCCGTCGTAGTCGCCCTTGTCGTCCTTGTCGTTCTTGTCGTCGTCGTTGCCGTCAGTGCCGTTGGTGCTCTTGCTGCTGTTGATGTTGCTGCTGCTGCTGTTGCTGCTGTTGTTGTTATTGTTGTCCTTGTCGTCCTTGTCGTCGTTGCCGTCGTTGTTGTCGGTGTTGTCGTTGGCACAGTTGTTGTTGCTGCTGCTGCTGCTGCTGTTGTTGATGTTGTTGCTGTAGTTGTGGTTGTTGTGGCCGTTGTTGATGTTGTTGTGGATGTTGTTGGTGTTGTTGTGGATGTTATTGTTGTTCTTGCTGTTGCTATTGTTGTCGTTGTCGTCGTCGTCGTCGTTTCCGTCGTAGTTGCCCTTGTCGTCCTTGTCGTTCTTGTCGTCGTCGTTGCCATTCGTGTCGTTGTTGTCGGTGTTGTCGTTGGCACAGTTGTTGTTGCTGCTGCTGCTGCTGCTGTTGTTGATGTTGTTGCTGTAGTTGTGGTTGTTGTGGCCGTTGTTGATGTTGTTGTGGATGTTGTTGGTGTTGTTGTGGATGTTATTGTTGTTCTTGCTGTTGCTATTGTTGTCGTTGTCGTCGTCGTCGTCGTTGCCGTCGTAGTTGCCCTTGTCGTCCTTGTCGTTCTTGTCGTCGTCGTTGCCATTCGTGCCGTTGGTGCTCTTGCTGCTGTTGATGTTGCTGCTGCTGCTGCTGCTGCTGCTGTTGCTGCTGTTGTTGTTATTGTTGTCCTTGTCGTCCTTGTCGTCGTTGCCGTCGTTGTTGTCGGTGTTGTCGTTGGCACAGTTGTTGTTGCTGCTGCTGCTGCTGCTGCTGCTGCTGTTGTTGATGTTGTTGCTGTAGTTGTCCTTGTTGTGGCCGTTGTTGATGTTGTTGTGGATGTTGTTGCTGTTGTTGTGGATGTTATTGTTGTTCTTGCTGTTGCTATTGTTGTCGTTGTCGTCGTCGTCGTCGCCCTTGTCGTCCTTGTCGTCGTCGTTGTCGGTGTTGTCGTTGGTGCAGCTGTTGTTGTTGCTGCTACTGCTGATGCTGTTGCTGGTGGTGCTGCTGCTGGTGCTGCTGCTGTTGTTGATGATGTTGTTGCTGTAGTTATGGTTGGTGTGGTTGTTGTTGATGTTGTTGTAGATGTTGTTGCTGTTGTTGTTGTTGCTGTTGTTGTGGCTGCTATTGTTGTTCTTGCTGTTGCTATTGTTGTCGTTGTCGTCGTCGTCGTCGTCTTCGCCCTTGTCGTCCTTGTCGTCGTCGTTGTCGGTGTTGTCGTTGTTGCAGTTGCTGCTGTTGCTGGTGCTGCTGATGCTGTTGCTGGTGTCAGAACATCATAGCTTACTCATTTCTGTAGGCTATAGTGGGGTATCCCATAGGGGGTACAACCCAATTAGGGTTTCATATTTGTACTCACTTCATTTCATAGTCATTCATTCACGTTCCTTTCTTCACAGCTGGTGCTGCTGCTGCTGGTGCTGCTGTTGGTGCTGCTCCTGTTGTTGCTGATGTTGTTGCTGTAGTTTTGGTTGTTGTGGCTGTTGTTGATGTTGTTGTAGATGTTGTTGCTGTTGTTGTTGCTGTTGTTGTGGCTGTTATTGTTGTTCTTGCTGTTGCTATTGTTGTCGTTGTCGTCGTCGTCGTCGTCGCCCGTGTCGTCCTTGTCGTCGTTGTCGTCATTCTTAAAACGGCTCACAAAAAATATTTTGCATCATTTTTAGCACATATTTTTCGAACATGTACACCATGAAGGAAGCTTACCAACTCTTAGCACCAACTGTGGCTTGTGCAGCTGTGAATGACATAGTTGATAATTGTGGTTTTCCAAATAAATGCAACAAATGTGAATTCATATCCAGTTGCTGTGTACTAGATCAGTTGCTAATTTGTCATTGAATTTATCACCATAAAGCGAGGGTCAGACGTTGATTCCGTAAGTACACCCCACATGACGGTGGAGGTAGTGAGCGACTCCTGCCGTGCACAGCTGGAACATTTGTCGTTATTCATGTTGCGACAAAGTTCGAAAGTGGCGGAATTGAACAGCACATGGCCTGGTTGGGCATGTTGCCATTTCTTCCTCACTGTACACCTGGTCCAATTTTGCCGAAGACAGCAACATCCACGTCGACCCTCACCTCCTATTCGCGGAATCACAAGTTTCCTGGCAACACAACGAATGAGTGACCATCTGGACGCGAACGAACTAGGCACAGTAACCACTTCTTGAGATGTGTGGTTGCGATTAGGGCGGAGTGCATCAAGCGATCCTTGCTATAAGTTTTGTCCGATGTGTAAGGGTATTACTGTACACCTGCTGCACCACAGCCACTTGGTCATGCCGACCAAACAACCCTATACCAGACTGATCCCACAGCTTGCGATCCACTTCAATCAGGCGTTGATGGTGCACCGGGTGCACGTCGATCCTTCTCGCAATTTTTTTTCTGTCGTCCAGCGACGCAGCGAAATGACAACGAGAATAAAACGAACGAATTACAAAGTCAGCCGCGAAAAAACACTGCAGTGGCGACCCCCGACCGCATCCATTGGTGCTTGGGGATCGCGACTGCAAAATTGCACATCCCTTGATACACCCCGCCCTTACACTTCCCCACAGATCATCCTCGTAGCCTCGTAACTGCTCCTTTCCCACCTTGACTAGCTTAGACGGTTACGATTTGTTGTTGCCAACTGATCGTGCGGACCATACATCGTCTTCTTCATTCGAATGTTCAAACTATGGCAATTCAAACACTCAAACAATCGCCTCTTCTGATAGTTAGAGCACGGAGGAGGACTTGGCTTTGTTTCCTCACTTCCCAGCTCCTCCTGAAGCTCTCGCGCCAAACTGTAGTTTACATTTGGCGCCAACACTGGAGGCTTACAAACCAGACGTTTCTCTGAATTGTGATTAGCTCGTATATTGACAAGATGTCGAACCTATTCCATGCCCAGACTTTCTCAACAGATAGCAGTGCTCGTAGCAGGTGGCGTTTTCAGCTGCCTAGGCTCTCAATCACCTGCCAGCAGAACATCAATACACCTGCCAAGCGCCGCCGATCACCTGCCCAACCATGCATTTCACCTGCCCAAATGTAGTGCTCACCTGCCCTTTGGCGCCAATCAACTGCGCTTGTAGGAGCTTCAATCTAATCGCCCAGCTTAACTACTACTTAAGTCACAACTTGCTGGGCATTATTATCATATTCATCCGTCTCCTAGTTCCTATCTTCCTCGGTACGGTCTTCACCACCTCCAGAACTATGGCTACTGTCCTTGCTGTCCGGAGCGAGGTGACAGGCAAGCGCCCCATCAAGCTGACCCCGAAGATGCAGGGAGCTGGGGGTCTTGGTACCCGCTTGAGTGGCGGTGTCAAGAAGCGCAAGGCTGTTGGCGGCCGACTGATCACGAAAGCGCGCAAGGATGGCGCTTCTGAGCACGTCGATGACAACGATGATGTCGACGATGTTGCGGGCAACACCGGCATTGACAACGCCTCTGCTGCCGCAGCTGACCCGTCTAGCGGTGCTGGTGATGCCGCTCCCTTGGGGGTTCAAGTCCATGCTGACGACTTCAGTGATGAGGAGCATGATGAGGAAGAGGAACGCACGAAGCTGCAGACGGAAAAGCAAGGTAAGAGCTCTTGAATTTTTCTTGCCCTGTTCTTTGGAACTTGTGTTGTGCTTGTATTCCAGATCTTCTCTTGTGCTTGTATCCCAGTTTTAACCGTAACGCTCATTTCCTGTGCCGCAGGGGACGGGCGACAGGACACGCTGAACAACATCACCGAGCGTGATGGGGCGTCGCTTCCCTCTCAAAGTCCTTCTGGGAGCCCCCTGGAGGGTGTTGCCGCGGCATCTGACCAGGATGCTAACGGGCGGCTTGCTGAGTTGGAGCGAACCACGCAGCAGCAGTCACAGCTGATTTCGTCGCTTTTGTTGCAACTTAACAACGGGTCCTGCTCCCTGGAGAGGGGTGCGGTGGGTCATGCCTCGGGGTCTCCAAGCACCAATGGAACGCCGCGATCAGCACCAACGTCGCAGCAAGCTCATGTCGCCACACCCGAACGCGAAATGCTGCAGCGCCCGACATCCAACCGTGCTTCCCCTGCTGTGCCGCGGAAGCGGAAGTATCCAACGATGAAGAACAACGGTAACGTGTGCGACGTAGTCCTGCACACGTCACTCAGCGGTATCCCGTTGAGGGACCAGATCCTCATGCGCCAGTTGCCTTCCTATGGCAAGGCATGGAACGTAAGTGCCATATCGAAAGTGTGGAATGGGGGTTGGTGGGTTATGTTTGTGTGGGTTATGGCTAAGGGGCATTGCTGTTTGCTCATCCCCTCTTCACCCTTTCCTCACGCCCCTCCTTTTCTGGCCTTGTTCTGTTTTGAGTCGACTTGTTCTTCTCGCATGCTGATTTGCCACGTTTCCAAGTTTCCAAATCTCCCTATTCTTTTCCGCATTCCCATGTACCAGAAAAAAATGGAGCTTGCTGTGGTTGTGGCGTTCTTTCGCCAACCGGACGACGTTACGAGCGTGTACCCGTCAGAAAGCGTGGTGATGCGGTGCCTCATCGGTGTTTGGGGCGAGAGCAAGGCTGCCGCGCTAGTAGCAGTCATGACGTACTGCGTGGCGCGGGCAGGCGCTTCAACGCGCAAGCAGAGTGATTGGCGTGCGCGGATCTCGATGAATGGGCGCCGGAATTTTGCTGACGCCTATGGGCTAGTTTGCGAAGCGAATCCCCGCCTGAAGTTCGATTACAGCGAGCTGATTTGTGATGAGGAGCGCACACCGACCCAAGTATACAACTTGGAGAGCAAGGGTGGGATACCACTGGTCAAGCCTCTTGGTAAGTGCAGTACGTGAGCATTGGTAACCACAGTTGTTACGCATGGTGCTGTATACGTCTTATGTTCTTGGCATACCCTTGGTTATGCAAGTACCCACCTTTCCATATAACGTATGACTGCAATGTCTGTTTCCATTGTTTATATATCTATGTGCTGAGCAGAAAAGGGAGGGCTTCTTATCTGGCACTTTGCTGAAGGCACGATGCGCCCGTTTGGCACTGCGCTCTTCGACATCATCGTCCGCAACGCATTTCAGAAGGGTGCTGGCGGGTCGGCTACGGTGGTGAAGGCGTACCACATCGCCTATCTGCTGTATCTGGTACGTATGAGTGTGATTTTTTACGTTTGCACGTGTGCGAGCACTTTGTTTCTTGTGTTGAATTGTAGCTGTAAGATTGGTTGCTTGAAGATTGCCTTGCATAGCCAGTTGGTCGCCCCATCTTCCCTCCAACCATCTTCCCTCCGACCCTCCCGCCAACCAATCGCACCATCAAATGGCCCCACCCGCCCCTCCCTGCCGCTTCTTGTCCCTTACCTCTCCCCCTCCCCTCCCCTTTTTCCCATTTCATTTTTTCCTCATCTTTACTGAACCCCAGGTACGGGCAGTCCCCCTTTGAGTTCTCACTGGGCGAGTCAGGAGGGAGCCTGCAGCTCGCAGTGATGAGCGGCACCATCAAATGGCCGCACCCGCCGCTCTCCGCCTCCTCCTTTCCATCCCCTAATCTCCCCTCTTTTCTCCTTCTCCCCATTTTCCCCCCTCCCCCACCCCTACCCTTGCTTCCTGCACTCTTTCCCCGGCCCTTTCTCCCCATTCCCTCCCGCCTTTTTTCTTCTCCTTTCCCGAACCCCAGGTACGGGCAGTCCCGTTTCGAGTTCTCCCTAGGCGAGTCAGGAGGCATGGTGCAGCTCGCAGTGATGGGCGGCACCATTAAATGGCCCCACCCGCCGCTCCCTGCCTCCTCCGCCATCCCTTAATCTCCCCTTTTTCTCCTTCTCCCCTTTTTTCCCCCTCCCCCACCCCAACCCTTGCTTCCTGCACTCTTTCCCCGGCCCTTTCTCCCCATTCCCTCCCGCCTTTTTTCTCCTTTCCCGAACCCCAGGTACGGGCAGTCCCCCTTTGAGTTCTCACTGGGCGAGTCAGGAGGCAGCCTGCAGCTCGCAGTGATGAGCGGCACCATTAAATAACCCCACCCGCCCCTCCCTGCCTCCTCCGCCATCCCCTAATCTCCCCTCTTTCTCCTTCTCCCCATTTTTCCCCCTTCCCTGTTTCCCATGCCACCCTGCCCATTTCCTGCCACACTGGCAGAAGCTTGTAGGGCGTTGATTCCATGCCCAGCGTGTTGCACTCCATACTTCATGCATCAACCGTTCTCCCATGTTGCCCCTCTCCACTCCAACCACCCCTTATGCTGGCAAGAGCATAGAGGGGCTCAGTTTTGTGCCTGTCTTGTTGCTCGGTGCACTTGCACTCTGCCTAATGCTGCCCATCCCTTTCCCTGCTCACCACCCCTCAGGAACGTGGAGTGGAGGTGTCATCGCATGCCTTTTGTGCTCTATCACCTCCCACCTGCCTGCCATGTCCAGTTTGCCTAACCAACACTACCTTTCCCCTTTAATCTGCACTCCCCCGTTGTAACAGGTTGAATATTCCGTGGTGCACCACAAGGCTCGTGGCAAACGCATTCCTACGGATGCGGATGTGAATGCAGCTGACATTGCCTGCTACCACCGCAAGGTGAAGGCGGCCATTCGCAAGACCCTCGAGGAGTCCCCGGATGACCAGCTTCCTGCATGGTCGGAGCAGTATCAGGGGTGGGTGTTTGGACCCACCGAGACTGTGGTGATCTCGGGCAGCGGCTTCCCCGACCTCGTTCCCGATGGGGCTGACCCCGATGCCGCCGAGAAGAAGGCGGTTGCTCTCCTGTTCGAGTATGCCCAGGTGGAGCTCGAGAAAGGCAAGAAGAAGAAGACGGGTTCCAACAACAGTGATGCCACCATGGAGCGTGATCTCCTGGATGATGTGGGTGAGTGGGAGGATGCGGAGGATAGTGTGTAGACGTGGATGATGTGGGCGGCCGAGTTGGTGCCATGCTGGGATCTGTTGTATTATATAGCTTATGTATTATATATAATTGGGAAATGGACAGATGGTTACATTCGGGATACAAACATCTGGGTCACTTTCAGCAAGAAATTGGAGCCCCAAATTTGCACAGATTCCATACAATTGGTCAGGCAAATGTATGTTTTTTTAACAGAAAATGCATGACTACCGGGAGGCAGTTTCATGATGTTGGGACAGCAAATGTAATATAAGTGACATGTAAATGAGGAACATTTACTAACTAAATAGCTAGTCCTTTTCGTATGGAAATGGACCCTACTAAAAAGGTACGACAACTTCTACTTTATAGTAGGCCTAATCACCCCTACTAAATACATACCAAGGAGTATAGAAAAGGTATGTAAAAGGTATGTATAATCAATAGGGATTTTTGAGATGGTAAGCCCTCCCCACCCTGCTGTGTCACCGGTGCATGTTGGTGGTAACTGCACTGGTGCATGTTGGTGGTAACTGCACCGGTGCATGTTGGTGGTAACTGCACCGGTGCGTGTTGGTGGTAACTGCACTGGTGCATGTTGGTGGTAACTGCACCGGTGCATGTTGGTGGTAACTGCACTGGTGCATGTTGGTAACTGCACTGGTGCATATAGTGGTCACCACACCGGTGGTGGTAACCAAACTGGTGTGACTGTTGGTAACCACACTGGTGCGAATGTTGGCAACTGCACTGGTGTGAATGTTGGTAACCGCACTGGCGCATATAGTGGTAAGAGGGGCCCTTGTCTCTACTCTGTGACACGAGTGCCTTGAGGTTCATGCATCCCGTGTGTGCAGGGTAACCCATGTCTGTCATCCCTCTGTTCCCTGCTTGCCTGCCCGCTCCATGCCCCATCAATCCCATGCAGGGTACCCCACGTGGAAGGGGCAGATTCTGGATGGAGAGCAGCTGTGGGCGCTAATAGAGGGCTTGGAGGCCAATGGGCTGCTCTTCTACACGCACCTGCTCACCGGTGGGTTCCAGGTGCATGATCACCTGTAGCTTCGAAACAGCACATCGCACATGGCTATGCAATTTCTCTTACACTTACCATGCCTCTTGTCATGCCATTTCACATGCCCCCTCACATGCCATTCCACATCAGACATGGGCATTTTGACCTGACAGGTTGGGTCGTCGGGTCGGGTCCAGGACAGGCCGACCGGACCCGGTCAAGTCGACTTGCGACCCGTAGATTCATATGTCAACCGGGTCGGGTCAAACCGACCCGTTGACGGGTCGCACTGGACCCGCCTATGATCACCCAATCTTCTACGCACCATCAGATCTGTTTGAGTCCTTGCGCGCACATCAGCAGCCGCGCTTCCCACTACCAGAGAGTAGTGCGCGCCACCCCACAGAGCAGCGCGCGTTACTCCCACCTGCATACAGCGCTCGCTCCCATTATTGAAAATACTAAGCTGAGTGCGCCACGTCAGGCAGCAAAGTGCGCGCCACTCCCAACTGCCAACTCACATGCCCTTTCAAATGCCATACCTCATGCCGTTTTACATACCATGTGACACGCCTTACATATCCCATCCCCCATACCATCCCCCATGCCTTCCCCCATACCATCCCCCATGCCATCCCACTTCAACGCCACACATGCAGGGAAAAGGGGATTTCGTGGCAGCATTGCTGCTTGGATGGTCTCATGTAATCCGTTGCCGCATGGCAAGCATCTCATTGCGTCTCAGTCCTACATTCGAATTCACATGCCATCCCCCATGCCATCCCACATACAGGGAACAGGAGATTTGATGACAGCATTGCTGCTTGGATGGTCACATGTGAGTGGGGCAGTTGCAGCACGGTGCTGCATCTCACAGTGCTGGTTACATTTCACAGTGCTGGTTACATTTCACAGTGCTGGTTACATCTCACAGTGCTGGTTACATCTCACAGTGCTGGTTACATTTCACAGTGCTGGTTACATCTCACAGTGCTGGTTACATCTCACAGTGCTGGTTACATCTCACAGTGCTGGTTACATCTCACAGTGCTGTTTACATCTGACAGTGCTGGTTACATCTCACAGTGCAGTGATGGTTACATCTGACAGTGCTGGTTACATCTCACAGTGCTGGTTACATCTCACAGTGTTACATCTCACGTGCTGGTTACATCTCACAGTGCTGGTTACATCTCACTCTTCTGGTTACATTGACTCAATCTGCTCCTCATTCTCTCAGCTCCTCTCCTTCCATTCTCTCCCTCACACACTTTCCTTTCCCCCCTCTCTCCCTCTTTCCCTCCCTCCTTCCCTCCCTCTCTCCCTCTTTCCCTCCCTACTTCCCTCCCTCTCTCCCTCCTTTCATCAGAAGTATCCTCAAGACTTGGCTAGAGCAGCGGAGCTAGCAGTGGCATCCCTACAGGTGAGCAGCTGCTGTTGCGCCTCGTGCTTGTGTTTGTTGATGCTCTGCTGTGTTTTCAATGTTCGTCTAGCTTTTCTGTTTCAACAGCAGAGCTGGCAGTGGCACTGGGCTGTCCATGGCTTTGAGGCAAGCTATATGAGCAGAGTTGGCATTGGCAACCCGTGGCATTGCAACCTTCCTGACCTGATTGCTGCTCTCCTCCCATTCTTTCTCCCTACAGGCTGTGCTCGCACGAACCTTGCAGCACCGCTCTCCACCTCTGGACGGCACCGAGTCCTCTCCCACTCCCCCCACTCCCAAGCGCCTGGAGCTCTGCCTCGTTCAGAGCCGCGATGACATTATAAGCCCGCCTGTTGTGTTACGTGCACAAGCGGTTGAAAGCGGTGTAGATGGTTTAGATGGATTGCAAGATGGTGAAAGTGCCTTGGTGAGTGGTGACAGTGTAGGGGTGCTGCAGGATAAGGGAGTTGATGCTCAGCTGACAACTGAGAGCTGAGTTGAATGTACTGTAAAAAGAAAACACTCAACTGTTTTTGGCCAGGTGAGGCACTTCCCTGAGCACAATTAACACTAAGAAAAGGACCAGGCGAATTCGAACTCACAAGCTGTTACGCTTCAATATTTCGGAGAGAGGGTTATGCTAGTGGTCCTGTGTTGAATTAACTTGGTAGGTATCATGTTATACTACAAGCAAGTGATTTCCGTACTGAGCTCTCTTGTCAAGCATCATGGAGGACGCAGAGCCGCTGCGCGCGCTCTCCGCCCACATCGCGTAAAAACGGACGCGGGTATCGCCCTTACTTAGATAGTCTCCCTCAGCTTTCCGCTCTATCGCCGCGTTCCTTCCGTCCCTGGTCCCTCCCCGCGCTGCGCGCGCTCTCCGTCCACAGCGCGTGACGCGGACCGTACTTGTCTCCCGCCGAGTAGCCATGGAGGACGCAGAGGCGCGCCGCTCTCGCCTGCGCAGCATGCGCGAGTCCGCGGCGAAGCAGCAGGCGGCGTCCCCCGGCGCGCCCACGCCTTCCGCCGCCCTCTCCGCACTCCCCTCCCCTGACTTCTCTCCGCCGCTTATCCGCACGCATCTGCGTGTGCGCCATCCGGGGAAGGCGGACCTGGGGGAGGTAGATCTGCTAGACGGCCAGCAGGAGCAGCCACCACAGGCTCGGGGAATTTCTCACAGGCCTCATGTAAATATCTTCAAAGCTCTAGCGTGTTTGTCTTAAAGCCCTATCATTCTCAGCTTCCGAGGTACCTGATCTACCCTACTCCCCAGCACCACGAGTGTCAAGTGCTGCCGTTTATGACTCCCAAGTCATCTCTCAAGCATTTCTCGTGTCATGTCGTGCTGGTGCCGCGCCGTGCCGGGTCGCGCCGTGCCGTGCCGGGTCGCGCCGTGCCGTGCCGTGTCGTATCCTGTATGCCGACCGTATGTCGAAAATGTCCATCGGGGAACTACCTTGAGGCAGAAGCAACTCAACGTCTCTCCCTCCCCATGTGTGATGCACCCTCCAACTGCCTGTCTAACTAATATGGGCCCTTCTCCCAGGTTGAATAGAAAAAACCCCTGTTTCTGGCCTCTGTTTCCCTCCCTTGCAACATCCAGACTCAAGCAGACGCCATCACTGCATGTGACATGCTGCGCGCTGCAGGGCCCAGGAAGGTATGCGAGGCTACAGGGGAGGAAGAAGAGTGGGCAGGTAGGTGAGGGGGACTTTCTGGAATCTCAATACTGTTTCGAACAAACGTGTGGCGGTGGATTAGCCTGCTGCTTGATGCTGCGGGTCCCAGAAACGTATTCTGCACGGCTAGGGCCTAGAGGGGACGAAGAACTGTGGGGCAGGAACTTTCGGGAAACTCAAATTTCCTCAAGTGTTTTGAATGTAAGTATGATGGTGAATTGGGATGGTTTTGCATGCTCTAGGGCCCAGAAAGGTATCACATTGAGTGGGGTTCAGGTCATCTAAACCTCATGGGGGTTGGGGGTGGGATGGGGGGGGGGGGAGGAGGTGGGGGAGTGGGGGACGAGAGGGGGAGAGAGAAGGGCACCCCTGCTGAGGACGGCATGGTGGGCGTGCTGACGTCATGGTTTGCTTGCTTGCTGGCGCTCTGGCACCGCTGCGAGAGGGGAAGGACAATCCTCGAGTTTCCGTGCTGAATTGATTTACCAGCAAGCAACAGCTCCTCGTAATTCATCAGGTGAGGCACGAGGAGTGGAGGGAGTGTACTTGCTTTGCTTCGAGGAGAGAGGGAGGGTGAAGAAACACCTCTTTCAACTCCACTCAACCGCTGTCACGTACCCCACGACACTCCCATCAGGTGGAGATCGCGAGCATGGAGGTGAAAGCCCAGCTGCTGGTGGTGGAGGGGAGATGTCCCATGAAGCATCGCCACATCTCTTAAGCCCGCTCAACCCCTGTCAACTGCTTTCAACCCCCCCAAAATATTGTAAACACCCCAAAACACTCCCGTAATGTGGTGATCACGAGCATGGAGGTGGATGGATGGCCGGTTGCTGGGGTGGAGTGGTCCTTGCGGCAACACCCCTCTTAAACCTGCTCAAACCCCTTCAACCACTTTCAACCGCTATCAACCCCTTTCAACTGTTTTCAACCACTCCCATCAGGTGGTGATAACGAGCATGGAGGTGGATGGCCAGCTGCTGGTGGTGGGTAGCGACGCCAGCAGCCCTGCTGTAGAGCAGGTGGGTGTAGCAGAGAAGGTGAGTGGTTCAGCAGAGCAGGTGAGTGGTGCAGCAGAGCAGGTGAGTGGTGCAGCAGAGCAGGTGAGTGGTGCAGCAGAGCAGGTGAGTGGTGCAGCAGAGCAGGTGAGTGGTGCAGCAGAGCAGGTGAGTGGTGCAGCAGAGCAGGTGAGTGGTGCAGCAGAGCAGGTGAGTGGTGCAGCAGAGCAGGTGAGTGGTGCAGCAGAGCAGGTGAGTGGTGCAGCAGAGCAGGTGAGTGGTGCAGCAGAGCAGGTGAGTGGTGCAGCAGAGCAGGTGAGTGGTGCAGCAGAGCAGGTGAGTGGTGCAGCAGAGCAGGTGACTGGTGCAGCAGAGCAGGGCACGGGGTGTGTGGGTGCTGGACTCGCTGCTGATAGCCTGGTGCTGGTGGTGGGGCGTGACGCCAGTAGCCCTGCTGTAGAGCAGATGGGTGAGGTGACAGGGCATGGGGCGTGCCAGTGTGGTGGTCGAGGTGTGCTTTGAGTCGAATCACTCGCATGTGGTTTGATATGCTGCTGCTGCTAATGCTGGTGCTGGTGCTGGTGGTGGGGAGTGACGCCAGCAGCCGTGCAGCAGGGGAAGTGAGTGAGGTGACAGGTCATGAGGGTGTTGGTCTGGTGTTGAGGTGTGGTTTGAGATGACTCCTGAACATGCTGCTTGTGCTGCTGGTGGGTAGTGATGCCAGTAGCCCTGCTGCAGAGGAGGTGTGTGAGAGGGCATGGGGGTGTTGGTCTAGTGCTTGATTTGATGTGTGGTGTGAGGATGGGGCAGGTTTCACACAACAGGTCGGTGCATGAGGCATGCCGTGTCGGTGAGTGTTAGTAGGTCAGCAATGGGCCCTTGTTTTGACCTTGGAAAGCAGGTCTCATCACTTCACCCCCCTGCCCTTGTCACTTCACCCGCCTGCCCTTGTCACTTCACCCGCCTGCCCTTGTCACTTCACCCCCCTGTGCTGGTCACTTATCCTGCCTACCTGCAGTGAACTTGTGCCACTTTTCTTCTTTCTCCCCCTCTTTCATTCAATTTCTCCTACGTTTGCACCTGCCCTGCCCACCCCTACATACACCACCCCGTACATACACTGCCCTGGCTCCCACTCTGGTCAACATCTTGACATACGTATTTCAGGAGGAGGGCCCCGGACCACCTGGATCATCTGGATCACATTCCTTGCAACGCTTCTGCTTTGCAGTGCCCAAGATATCCGAGTACTTCACTGTATGGCACTCCTTCTCACACTCTCTCTTCTCACACCCTCCTTCTCTCACTCTCCTCACACTCTCCTTCAGTGTGCAAATCAAAACAAGCAGCGCATATCGTCTCTCTCATCCCCACTTGCTCTCCCTTCTGCCCTCCTCTCCCTTCCCCCCTTACTCCCCTCCACCTCCCTCAGGCGGCAAGGCGACAACATGAGCGTAATCGGAAGGGTGATGGCAGAAAGCTTGTTTGTGATTGATTAATAAGCAGAGATGGGGTACAAGAGAGGGGGAAACCCCCCTAAAATCCTGAAAAAACCCCCCCACAGCCCCCCCAAGGCCCCCCTAAGGCCCCCCTACCCCCCAATTCTCCTCACAGCCCCTCACAGCCCCCCTCGAACCGCCCTGGAAATCCCTGGGCATGGCCCATGCATATCTGCTCCCTGTCATATCACATTCCTGCTTCTGCTTCTTCTTTGTGCTTCCTATCTATCATATCCCTCCCGGGCATGGCATGGCATGGCATGATATGGCCAACCAGGGAGGGGCGCACAGCACAGAGAGCCAGGAGCTCATCCACCACTCCCTCTTCTGTTCTGCTTCTGCTCCCCACTCCCCTCCCTTTTCCCTCACCCCTCCCCGCTTTCTCTGCCCGCCTGCGTATATAATAACAAGCACATACATTCACATTCGCTAGGTCATCAAATCTATAAGTCATCTATCACTCTACGCGTCGTAGCAAATAGCCTCATGTTGTCGACAGGAGAAAATGGCACATGCGCTCCCTCCTTGTGCATCTGTTTCTCTCTCTTCTTCTCCCTCATGTCCTGCCCTGCGCATGGCTGAACACAAGCAGGTGGCAACACATCTACTCCCTGTTTCCGTTTCTGCCACTCTTTGATATCCCAAACCTGGCCCAAACCAAACCTGCACTTCCCCCCCCCCCCCCCTCCCCCTGCATGTATAACAACAGGCACATACATTTATGTTCTTAACGTGATCAGATTCATCCCTCCTACCACTCTGCACATCGCAAGCCAAGTGTCTTCATCTTGGCGATAGGAGGGAAGCTGGCACCTGCGCAAGGGGAGGGGGGGAGTTGGGGTGGGGGAGAGGGGGAGCGGAGCAAGTAAGCGGGGGGAGCAGACCAAGTGAGGGGATGGCAGGAGGTGTGAGGGCATGGTGGGATGGCAGGTGTGTGGGATATGGCAAGGTGTGCAGTGCATGCTCTGAGGCGACTCACAACGCACATGCGGCTGAATTGGTGGGGCATGCAGCATGGCATGGCGCTGCGCTCCTCCCTGCTTCTGTTTCTCTCCCTTGTCCTCTCTCATGTCCCGCGCATGGATGATCAGGGACGGGCACACAAGCAGCTGGCAACGCATCTGCTCCCTGTGCAAAGTATCTTCATCTTGGCGACAGGAGAAACTGGCACCTGCGCAAGGGGAGGGGAGGAGTCGGGGTGGGGGAGCAGAGCAAGTGAGCGGGGGGAGCAGGGCAAGTGAGCGGGGGGAGCACCCTAAACCCCCTTACCCCCTTACCTGGCAGGAAATGAAATTCACCATGCAAGGAATGCAAATCCACCTGCCAGGGCATCAACAGGCACCATGCAGGGCATGAGAAGGCACCGTGCAACATGCGAAGGCACCTTGCAGGGCATGAGAAGGCACCTGGCAGAAGGGGGAAAGTGGGGAAAGAGGGGAGGGGGTGGGTGAGACAAGCTCAAATGGGCAGGCGCTGCAGTGGCAGCTGGCAGAAAGGGGAGGGGAGAGGGTGTCTTGGACGTCTCACAGTTCCCCATGCCCCCTTACACCCCCCCCTTGAGAAAGAATGCACACAGGAACAACAAACAAGCAAGCAAAACAAACTGAAACAAACAAACAAACAAACAAACAGGAAATATTGGGATGGAAAGAGGGGACGGGGTGAGTGAGACCTCTTCAATCAACATGCGCTACACTGGCACCTGCTGGAAACGGGAGGACAGAGGGGAGGTGTTGAGTGTGACACCTCAAAACATTATGCCTTGCACTGGCACCTGCTGGAAAGGGGAGGAAAATGGCATCATGCAAGGAATGAGAAGGCATCATGCAGGGAACGGCAAGGCACCTTGAGGGAATGAGAAGGCATATGATTTTTATGTGCCCTAGTACATTGTTTTGCTTTTGTGTTCATACATTCATGCATCTTTCTGGCACCTGCACAAGGGGAGGGGAGGAGTTGGGGTGGGGGAGCAGAGCAAGTGAGCGGGGGGAGCAGGGCAAGTGAGCGGGGGGAGCACCCTAAACCCCCTGACCCTCTTACCTGGCAGGAAATGAGAAGGCACCATGAGGGAATGCGAATGCACCTGGCAGGGCATGCCAAGGCACCATGCAGGGCATGAGAAGGCACCGTGCAACATGCGAAGGCACCATGCAGGGCATGGGAAGGCACCTGGCAGAAGGGGGAAAGTGGGGAAAGAGGGGAGGGGGTGGGTGAGACATGCTCAAATAGGCAAGCGCTGCACTGGTACCTGGCAGAAAGGGGAGGGGAGAGGGTGGCCTGGATGTCTCAACGTTCCCCATGCCCCCTTACCGCCCCTTAAGCAAAGAATGCACACATGAACAAGAACAAGCAAGCAATCAAACTAAAACAAACAAACTGGAAATATGGGGAGGAAGGAGAGGAGGGGATGAGTGACACATCTCAAAACATTATGCGCCCTGCACTGCCACCTTCTGGAAAGGGGAGGACAGAGGGGAGGGGGTGAGTGAGACACCTCGAAACATTATGCCCTGCACTCCCACCTGCTGGAAAGGGGAGGTATGAGACGAGGGGGTGAGTGACACACCTCAGCATGCGCAGCACTGGCACCTGCTGGAAAGGGGAGGACAGAGAGGAGGAGGTGTGTGACACACCGCAAAACAACATGCGCAGCACTGGCACCTGCTGGAAAGGGGAGGACAGAGAGGAGGAGGTGTGTGACACACCGCAAAACAACATGCGCAGCACTGGCACCTGCTGGAAAGGGGAGGACAGAGAGGAGGAGGTGTGTGACACACCGCAAAACAACATGCGCAGCACTGGCACCTGCTGGAAAGGGGAGGACAGAGGGGAGGGGGTGAGTGAAACACCTCACAAAATTATGCCCTGCACCCCCACTCCGTGCTGCACCATCCGTCACACCACGCGCTGCTCTGGCAGCTGCTGAAACAGGGGGAGGGAGGGAAGGGGAGGGGAGTTGAGGGGGTGGGTTACATGACTAAAAACAAAGGAGAGAGAGGAGGGGATGGGTCACATGAATCAAAACAGAGGGGAGAGACAAGGGGATGGGTAACATGTCTCAAGAAGGGTTGAGGGTATCATATGAATGATACTATGTTTAGTTCTTGTATGTTCTTGTTTCTGTTCTTAGTTCTTGTTCTGGTTGTTTCTTTAGTCGTTGTTTCCGTTCTTCTCTCACCATGGGGCGGCGAGGCGAGGAGGCGAGGTGCTCGACAGCGGCGCGTGGAGGGCTGAGCCGCCCGCGTGGAGGGCTGAGCTGCCCGCGTGGAGGGCTGAGCCGCCCGCGTGGAGGGCTGAGCCGCCCGCGTGGAGGGCTGAGCCGCCCGCGTGGAGGGCTGAGCCGGCGTCCATGGGGTGGCCGACCCACCCCATACGCCATCAACACCACGTGCTGCAGTGGCTCATGCTGGAAGGGGTAGCCTGGTTGTAGGGTTTCGGGTTCAGAGTAAGAGGAGGGGGGAGAGAGAATGGGCAGGGTAAGTTCGGTGGGGAAATGAATGGGGCAAGTAATAATAATATGGGAAAACAGAATTTGATGTTTCTTTCCTTTCAATTGAAAAATTCCACTCCTTTCATCGTCTCAAGGCACCTAGCAGGGGATGACGAAGCATCAGGCAGGATATAAGTGGTTTGGGGAAAGGGCGAATTGTTTTCCCAATAATATCTATATTGGATCTTATTGTTTTTTATATACATGCTTCTTTTTTTTTGTCATGCTCTCATGTTTCAGTTGTGTTTAGTCTTTTTCTTGTACCTGGCGACGCGTTGTGATTTGAGCGCCTGGAGGCGCATGGAGGCTGCACTGGCACCGGCTCTGCTGTCCGCCAGAGCCGCGCCATGCGCCTCTGCTGTCCGCCACGGCCGCGCCATGCGCCGCCAGAGCGCCATGAGCAGCGGCGTCATTGTCGTTGGCGTGTCAGCGGCATGGCAATCGGCGTGACAGCAGTGTGGCATCGGTGCCCCGAAGCGGAACTAATCGGAAATCGCCATGTTTGGTGGCAGATTTTGGATGTGGAATGCCGC